TATAGATCAGGTTTTCTTTCACTGATCACAAATTACGGTAATGTTTTTGTGGTGCTCATTTCCGGGCTCACTTTGTTGTGTTTATTAAAGCAAGGTATTGTTAGATCACAGGGAGTATCTCATTTTCATTTTCATATCTCTAATTCTAAAGGGGATTAAATTATCCAATTAAGCTGCTAATTAAAAAGACTCCTACAGAATAAACTGCAGGCTACCAATGGCATTTTCAATTTTCATTGTGCTGTGTTCAAAAGCAATTTTCTAAATTCAGAAGAGCTCAAAGTTGCGGTCCTGTACTTCACTTTAGAAGGTGTGGCTGGGAATGCTAGCTGAGAGGCAAACTCATTTCACTAGCTTCTTACAGATGAGCATGTAGTCAATCATGTGTTGAAAACGGCAGACTCACAATATGGAAGAAGCCTGAATCCCCAAGTCACCAGTTGGAGGAGAGAAACACAGTGATCATTAATATCCATTATGTATGTAATGAAAACAGGAAACAAATTTAAATTAGTTAAACCTTTGAGTTTATCTGTTTTATAGCTAACGTGATCTTAATAAAGAAAGCAAGTGACTTAAGGGACACACAAATATTTTAACTCTAATTGGAAACATTAGCCTCTTTCATGTTTTGATCAGGTTCACTTAGATATATACCTAAAAATCTAAGCAGACTTACTACCTCTTGTTTTTTAGAAAATCTATTCCATGGACCATATAGCCAGAGACATTCTAGACTTCTTATCTCCATTCCCACAAAGCCCCTACTTCCTGTCCCACACTCCAGAGAATCACTCATTAAACTCTGTCATTTATATGCATCTTTCCTCCTACCACTACTCTATACATAAAAATTCTTATTTCATGGATCAGCTTAGAAACTAAAGTCTCCTAAAGGGGCACCAACAGGCCATAGTCACTTACCACCCACTGACTCTGATGTCTACGTCCTGTACATGATGATGTGACCTACTACACAAATGGACTAACCTAGGATCCTACAAACCAGTACTTTTTCTCATCTTAGAACATATCAGTGCCAGAAAGGTGTTTAAATTGATTGGGGTACTCTATTTGCAATGCTGGCCTACTCCCAAATGTACACAGTAGCATAAATTCTATGATATGCCTCTAGATTTGTCTGGACTCAGGCAAGGTCATCAGGCTTTCAGAGTCCTTTACCACTCAGTCATTGTCTGAGGGTCACCAGGCACTTCCAGTTCTAAGAAAGTACGTTGGGCCAAGAGGCTCCAATAGCTTGAGAGCAGCCATCCTTCAGAGCCCCATCCAACTAGACATGAAAGCAGATGGAAGGGAAGGTGAAGGTACCCAGTAAAAGGGCTTTGCTGGGATCTGGGAAGAGGGAGTACTGCCAGTATCCACTAGAGCAGTGGTTCTCAACCTTCCTAATGCCACGGCCCTTTAATATAGTTCTTGTGGGTCACAACCCACAGGTTGAGAACTGCTGCACTAGAAGAAAGGTGAATAATACCATTTCTGTGTTCCAAACCACACCCCAATACATGTTATCCCACCTCACTCAGTAGGGCAAGGTAACAGTTTACATATCCATGAGACCAGACTGTTCATTGAAGCCCAGAGAGACTATATTATTCACCTATATATAGCTAGTTGGTGATTTATATATAATGGGTGGTCAGTTAGTGTGCTGAATGAATGACTATAAGTTAACTAAATTGTTAGAGTGGTGATAGCACATAGAGATTCTGGGATTTCATAGTAACTGTATTGTTCCTTGTCATTTTTGCAAAACCAGCCCTGTTGTGGTTGATATTTCCTCAATAGGAATATTATTGCAAAGACAATAAACCACATCTTCTGACTTACATTCTGAAAGAAAATATAATGACCACCTTGCAAACCTCTCATTGCCTAGGGAGAAAGTCATTGCATCCAAATCCAACTACCCTAACCCAAGAAAGCTAGTACGCTATGGTACTCTGTATACTTTCTGGCAAATATTATTGTGTAAAATAGAACCGCATATGTTAATAGATATAATAGATTTTAATATTTTTTTAAAAGAAAGAAACAGAACATCTTCAACCAACTTTTTATTGTCCTTAAAATGATTGTTCACATTGTTTCACAAGTAGGGAAAGATAATACAACCAAACTAGTCTCACGATGACCATCTTGATATAAAATGCATAATCCAAGAACATCTTCTTCAAACCAGCGGGCCACTGCCACTGACGGTGAAAATGTTTTCATAGGAAACAATCATATATTTTTCCATAATTTAATATGCAACTGGGGCATTATGTTAAATATTTCAAGGAAGAAGCCCCTAAAATGCTAAGTGATTGTAGAAATACTCATTGAATAAATGTATTAGAAATGGGTTAATTGAAGGGATGAAAGTTAATCCAAAGGTCTGTGGCCCAAAGCACAAAGACTCTACCTTTCTTGACTCTGGGTTATTTAACAAAAGATTTCAAACCTCTCTAGCTTTTCTGGCATGAGCATAACCTGTCTGGCAAGCCATAGTTCCTAGTTGCTTCTTAGCGTTGCTCCAGGGCTAAGTAAGATAAAATTTATGTGCTATGCTGTAAGCTCCATTGAGGCAAGGCACTAAATAAACTGCAGGATAATTTATGAATCTTGAGTTTGCACTAATCACATCTAGGTCCATCTCATAAAAGAAATAAATGGGAGTAGCATTGCTGAGCACTTCGTAAAAAGCTCAACAAAATCGGGGCAATAGTGAGGAGTCCAAATAAGACTCCTTTATACCCAGAAAATTTTTGACTAATCCAGGAGAATTTCACACACACAAAAATCCTCTGTCCAATGCCCAGACAATAGTTCACTGGCATAACATTAGATATCTGAATCACGGAAGTGTGTTATGGCAGCCCTAGTTTGAGATCCAATATCTAATCTCCTTTTAATTTACCATAATTATTTCCATAAAGCTTTGTGGCTTCACTCCAGTGGATGTGCTTAGCAAGGAATGCCAAAATCCTGTCTTCTCTTCAGAGCCACATCCTTAGGCCAGCTTCTCCTTCGTTTTTCCCCTTCCTTTCCAGTTGCATTTTACTGTCTTCTTTTTACCATGTGTATCCCAGAGACAGGACAATGAGACTGCAGTCGGAAGTGTTAAACATAAACGTGTACTCGGAAATCCAATCCTTCCAGAAAATTATTCAAGCTAGTTCTGATGATTTGGTCTTCCTGCCTTCGTTTTAGTTTTAGTTTTGTTTTAATAATGGCCATCCTGTCTATAACTTTCAGTATAACTGAGGTACATCAAGTAAAGTTAATCAGGATAAGGTGACGCTGTCGTCCAGAAAGCAGGAGGGCCCCAACTGATCACCAACTAGGTTTCCTAAACTGACAAATGATTTGTGTGCGGTACAAGAACGAGTGATTTCATTTCCATTTTCAAAGTCATAACCCTATGTCTTTACCAAACACTTTCTCTGACCTGCAGGAATGTGTTTCTTTGGAGTTTCAGAACGAAAGCTAGCGGGAAAACACTATTCACAGAAGCCTGACAAACCTCAGCTGACTTTAAGTGCCCAAGTGCAAGAACAAAACAAGGAGTATGTTATACGTGTAAACCGAATTGGAGTGCTTACTTCAGAGGAAAGGCACACACATGTCCAGCACCCCTAACCTAATATTGCTTGTTTTTCGAATTATAAACTAAGGTCACATTAAGCCATGGTTAAGAGGAGGAAAAGGTAGCTGCCCTTCAGAAGTTTATCCATTCAGAGGGGAGGAAGTCAAGGAGAAAATCAGTCTCCTCCAGCTAATGCAGTATAATTGTTTTCCTCATGATGGTGCCCCTCCATTTCTCTCCCTTCAAAAGTTCCCGTGGTTACAAAAGGACGTGGCACACACAATTTTTTCTTTAAAAAGTGACAAGTCAAAGAGATGCAAAATGGCCTCTCGTAGTTATTCTCAATTTGTCCTCACAGATAGTGAATCATGTGAAGAGGTGGGGGGCTGCCAATTTTAAGAAACCGGAAATGCCGGGTACCCTCTTTAAGACCATTACCATTTTATCCTACATGTATACACACTAATAAGAAATAGAGGCGTTTACTTAAGAGGATAATGTTCTAAGGTTCAAAAACATAGTAGTGTTCTTTCTTGCAGATGTTTTTCTTTGGACTCTGCAGGGAATATGAAATGGAATCCATATATTTGAAAATGTCTTCAATCAAGAAATTTTTCAAAAAGGTTGTTTCTTAAGAGAAATAACATTAACTAAGCTGAAACAGAAGGTACTTTGCTCCCTCCTCAATGTGGTGTTTGTTCCTTGGCACTAAAGGGAAATGAAAGCCATACGTTCCGGATGGGGCATCGGAAAATCCTTTCCTCAATGTCTGCTTATTTCAGAACCAGGAAATGGACATCTATAAGGGTAATGAAACCAATAGGAACTGGGTTAAAGAAAAGTGTTCAGCAGACAATCACTGAGGTTCCTACAGACTAGATAAAATTTTGTAGATTTCATCTCCTAGTTTCCCTGCTATTGTGTGACTAGGAGTTTCTATTTCTTCTGGGACTTAAAATTCTATCTCCTTTTTTCCATTTAATAAACTCAAACCTTTTACTACTGGTAGCCTTTCTGCCAGCTTTGTTCATGCAGACTTGAAAAGGACAATCAGGTACATCAGCTGCAAGCTGTGGGGCACATTTTCATTCCAATAGACTCCAAAGCTGAAGGCAAGAACTTCGTAAAATGGAGATCCAAAATATTTTCAATTTAATTACCCTAGAAAGAAATGCTATGTTTGGCTGTCCAAAAAATCTGGCACCACATTCTAGAGCAGCAAGACCTCCCAGGTATGCACGCACATGTCTTTATCATTGAGGGCTACAAGTTTAATAGATTTAACTTCGTTATAGATGCAGTCTATTTTCTATCTAGGCCCTCTATAACACTATAGGCTATAATGGTACGGAGCACTTAGCTATGGCTAATGCACTAAAATTGTCAATAGCAACAATTTGTCAGGTAGCAATTTAACAAAAGTAGCCTAGGAATTTATTTTTGTTGATTTGGTTTTCTAAAGAAACATATTTGGTTTATTTCTTGTATTCCATTTTTTCAGCCCTATAACATTGAGCAAATGCCATTTAGATCCAAGCAGGTCATCTACCTAAGTAATGAAAGTACATTAAGAATGGAATTCTTCAGAGGAATATAGACCTAGAGCAGTGGGCAATATGCTAGCCGTGTGCAGCTTTCTCAGGATGGCACAACCCAGTGGTTCAGCTACCAGAGTCTGCAGGAGTCCATGCCTCTGTTCATCGTGGAATTGGGTGGACAGTTAAAAGCTTTCTGGAATTCTTCAAAGTTACTAATTGCACCATTGACCCTGCAAAAAGATATGTCAAAAGTACATGTCATTTAATTCATGGACCTTAACAGGATAAAACTGTAGCAGTATATTCCTAGAAGAAACATTGGCATTCATTTAATCTGCTTATAGTAGAGACAACTAAAACCCAAAATGATTAAATATGTTTCCAAAAAATTTAACAGAACTGGGACTATTTCCTGAGTGTCAGGCAAAGGCTCCTATTATTCTTCCTATAGTCTTCAAATACCCATAAAACTGAACTATCACCAATACTTACTTTTTCTAACTTTTAAAAGTTAACTCTATCTGGAAAGTATAACTGACATAAAGTCCACAAATTCTAGATATAGGTTTTTTCATGTGGGTAGTTACTACTACCCTGATCAAGACATAGGATATTTCTAGCACCCAAGAGGCTCTTTCCTGTCCCTTACCAATGGCACCTCCAAAGATAACTATTTCTCTGACCTCTGTCACCACAGCTTGGCCTATTTTTGAACTTCAGCTGTGTGGAATTCATAGTACATACTGTTTGGTCTTTGACTTCTTTCACTCAATATAATGTCTGTAAGAATCATCCATGCTGTTGCATTTCTAACTATTTTGAAAGAATTCATTCAACCTACAAAAACACTTTCCCTAAATTCCTATTAAGTTTGGAGGCTCATATTTGCCTAGAATTTGGTAAATGCAACAATCAACTAACAAAGGGTACGTAGTTCTTACTAATAAGTAATCCTTCAGTGGAGTTAGCTCCAGAATCTTGTGCTCTTGTAAGTTTCCAACTGCAGGAAAGATTGGATTCCTACTCAGCACTTTGATTATAACTGCCTTTTGGAAATGGCATTTCCATTGTTTGATTTCTACTGTACTCAGAATCTGTAGTTACTGCAGACATCAGTAACAAGCCAGGCAAAAAAACTACCCCCTCATCCATTTCGTACTCAACTGCATGTTCAAAGGCTTGACTAGAGACTCAGCATTCTCAGTCACTGACAATTTCTTCCCTAATGACTTTGTTACCTACGGGCATTTGAATAAATGTAATGGCCTGTATCCAAAAGATCCTCATAACCTCTTGTGTTTTAGTGAGATGTATGGGTAGAGATGCATATTTCATAGTCTGATTCACCCTAGGCAAGTGTTAAAAATAGAATATAGCTGATAATTAGTAAGTACACTCTGTAAAATTATCAGCTAAAATCCAACATTACAGGCAACTAGTTAGTAAAAGGAAATTAGTTTCTAAAAACTTATCTGTTGAGTAATTAATCCACTGTGTGGCTTCATCTGTACCATTTGTCAGTGGGAACACATTTTAGTTGGTTAGAGACTGTCAGCCTTCATGACAGTTTAGCCCAGTGGGGGAGAATTTCCAAAACAGTGATTAGATTTTTATGCTAGTGGGTAATTTATAGTCAATTTCTGAAGCATTTCTAATGCAAGTTTTTAGGAATAAGATTTTAAAATATAGGAGAAATTTTAGATGACTTTCCTGCAATATGCTAATGGATTCATGTAAACATGAAATATAAAGATATCCAGATATAATATATCCTAAGCAAAGAATGAATAAATATAAATTATTATGGTTTCTTGGATTTCTCATTATACTGATCTGTTGCCTAGTACAGATATTTTCTCTTAAGCTATGGAATCTAGTGCAGGGTAAGTAATATTAACCTTAATTGTATTTTTGCTTAATATTTTATACATTCTGATACATAAGACTGTAATTCATAATCTTTTCCCTTTGTATATAAGCAACTGTTTCAAAACATGATTCAAACTGAAAGCCAAAATATAGAGTCTCTAACTCTAGAAATAAACTATAATTACTAAATATCACCATTTATTTTTGGGTTCAGAGCTATTCCAAAAGTGGGCATTTGTTTGTTGGTTGGTTGATTGTGTGAAAGAACAGGAAGTCTTAAACAAGATATTCTTTAACACCAAATAAACCAGAGCTCTAGGTGTTTTAAGGCACACTGCGTCAGATCTTATCCTTTTCTAAGATACTAAAGACTGCTTTTTGGCCTAGACCAAAAAAGTACATAGTTGGAGAAATCAAATATTCCAGTTTACTGAGCACACAGGGTGCTCACCCATGGATTGCTGTCTCTCAAAAGCTGGAAGATAATAAGTGAGATTTAACACTAAAGCTATGATTTGGATTTTAAGTTTCCTTTAGAGTCTGATTCCAGTCTCATGAACCTCTCAATGTGGCACTAGACAAGGAATATGTACAATTCCCCACCAGCAGAAATCTAGCTGAGAAGACGCTGCCTAAACCAGCTTACCGCTAATGAAAAAAAAAAAAAGATAATTAGTTTCTATTTGGCCAGACTTTGGTGGGGGAGGGCTTGTCCATAAAATGGAGATCAAATGATTCAAAGCACAGGCCTTTTGTGCAGATCACCTATCTGGTAGAGCCCTGGGATGGCTGGGTTGGGGAAAAAGAGGGGAGATGCACGGTTCAAAACTAGCGTCACCCATTTGCCCATTTACCTAAACTGAGGAGGGCTGTGAGCACCAATTTGGATTTGTTCCCGGGCAGCTTCTGGTCTGTAGGAATTGCACCTCACCTAAAAGAGAAAAGTATCTTAATGAATACGCTTCCATTCTGATAACACATTCTCTACTATCTTAACTGCTCCAAATTATACTGAAAAATAATTTTAGAACCAGTGAATGGCAAACCGTTTTTAGTAGATCAGATAAAACCTTCATCAGTAAAAACATCTATTATTCTGATCCCCAGAGTAGAAGGTTTTTATCACTGTGAATAATTTCACAATCTGAGTAAATGAGGAAGGTTTCCAGACAAGTGGTTTAAATCAAGAGAATTGCGTACGAGCCCAGGAATCAACCAACATATTCACGCAATGAATTGAAGTTTGAAATAGTTCTTATCACACTTAATCATACCTATTTAAATCAATAAACTCAATCAGCTACCCATTATTGAGTACGGTCATGAGCAGTTAGTATTTTGCCCCTGTGTACCTCACTTGCCTCACTCTAATGCGGGCCTGGGATAGGTACATACGTTAGGCATAGCTATCTGACTCACTCTGGTCAATGAAATACAAACAGAAGTGCTTATGTCACTTCCTTTAAGAATCTTAAGAACAATTTAAGTGCTCTATTAAGAACCAGCACCCAAGGCCAGTGTGGTGGCTCACACCTATAATCCTAGCACTCTGGCTGAGGCGGGTAGACTGCCTGAGCTCAGGAGTTTGAGACCAGCCTGACCAAGAGCAAGACCCTATCTCTAAAAATTAGTGGGGCGTTGTGGCTGGTGCCTGTAGTCCCAGCTACTTGGGAGGCTGAGGCAAGAGAATCGCTTACACCCAAGAGGCTGAGCTCACTGTGAGCTGTGACACCCCAGCACTCTACAAATGGTGACAATGAGACTCTGTCTCCAGAAAAATAAACACATAAAATAAAATTTAAAAAAGAACCAGGGCATGCTTCCTCCTAATTCTTTTCTATTCCTGTGGTGACCGTAGAAGCACCTATGAAGATAAAGACTCCCAGATTCAAATCAGTGAGTCAAAACTACAAGAAGAGCCCCACTGCTGACCTGTGCTGGATGGAGAACACGGACAAGAAAGAAACTTCTGTTGTATCCTTTGTTTCTGCAGCAGAACCCACTGAAGCCTGACTAGCCATGTATCTTGGGATCCTACAGAATCTTAAGTACAAATAGAACTAGGACACAAGGATATGGGGGAAACATCCTAAATGAAGGGAGAAATGAGAGCAAAGACATGTTTGAGGGGAAAGAAAGCAAGACACGCAGCTTGGCGGGAGTGTGTGCTGCCTAACTGGCAGCGGTGGGAGAAGGACGATGGTACCAGACTTCTGAAACTCTGAGCAACTGGACACTGTTTAAACTGCATTTACACAGTTTGTCAGTGGGAAAATGATAAAATCCAGATTTTTAAAATCTTCTTCTGCCGGGAATGTATGGTAGGAAGAGGGAATTAGAGACCAGTTAGAAGACTATTTATAGGCACCAGGAAGGTTCTCAGTGGCTGCCCCCTAAATAAGAAGAAATGGGAATGGAAAGAAGCAGAGGATCAGAAGAACATCTGAGGAAAAAACTGACAGGTCCCAGTAACCACAGGGATATAGGAAGCAGGGAAGGTGACATGATGCTATTGCTCTTGATGATAATAAACCATCAGTCACTGTGGTTCTGAATTGGACTTGGAAGATACTTTTGTAATGTGATTCCTTAATTTCCTCAGCGGCTAGCTTAATATGAAGTTGTTCCTGGCATTTGATTTTACCTCATTTCTTCGTATGTTTTTTCTTCTTACATTATTATATAGTATTGTCTTTCCTTCACATACTACTTAAGAGATTTCTGGAAACACATTATAGTTGTTACTGCTTTCCTAGTACCTTCCCAGGGGGGGAAAAAGGAGGCTTACTCCGATGTGCCAAAGATTAAAAATCTCCTCATTCTATCAGCGGGAAAAGCTCCAAGATAAATTTCTCACAAGCAATACAAAATATATGCCTATTTTTTCCCTCTAAATCTCTTTAGTTTAAAATAAATCAAATATAGTTCAGTATTATACAGTATTTGAAGACATTTCAAAATTATGACTGCAACATCACTATCAATTAGTTTATTTTATCTACAAAGAGATATTATGCACTAGGATATAAAATAGTAAGAACTGATGAACCCTTGTACTTTGTCTTCTAGAGCAAGAGTCAGCAAACTTTTTCTATAGAGAGATAGATAATAAATATTTTAGGCTCTGAAGATCACGAGGTCTCTGTTTCAACTATTCAACTCTGGCATTGTAACACAAAACCAGACACAGACGATGATAAGTAAAGGAGGATGGCTGTTTCCCAATAAAACATCATTCACATAATAGGCAGCAGGCCATATTTGGCCCTAGCTTGCCAACCCCAACTCTAGAAATTTCTAGCTATGTGTTATGTGCTTATTTTAGATATCTGATTGACTAGTACGGACTCAAAAGGAAGTCTCCTTAGTTGGATTGTGCTAGTCTTACTCCTTTCAAGAAATTGATCTAAAAATATCAAGTGTCTTCAATATACCCAACATCTTTTCTGGGTGCTATGGAAATACAGAAGAAGTATAAGGAGCCAAAAGATTAGCTGTGAAGATAAAACTAAAGTTCTTGAACATTTTTAGAGCAATTAAGTACTCAATTGCATGGTAATGACAGCAAGTATAAAAGGAGTTGAAGATAAAATAATAAGAGCTAGAGTCCTTGGGGAAGGGTTTGTGGACGATGTGGAGAAGGTGGAATTTGACATGGATCCTCAAGGATGAAGTAAGGATTGAAAGGGAAAGAGAAGAAAAGGGATCACATTAGAGACGGAGAATCAGAAGCAAAGCTACAAAGATAGCAATGGGCATGACATCATGACATCATAGGGTGGAAGTGAGGATACCTGCCCTATTAAAGTTGAGATTTTTTTCATCCACTGGTGCTGCAGGAAATTAAAGTGGGTTGGGTAGAGTTGGATCAGACTGAGAACTTTGGAAGCCAGATGAAGGTGTTTAGCCTCAATGTGGTAGGCATCTGGGATCCACCATAGTTCTTTTAGCAGGTTGGTAGTAAAATAAAAGTGATATATTTCAGTGGCACAGAAAACAGTGGTGAAAGATGCTGAAGTCAAAAAAAATATGCAATAGGATGTTGAGATAATCCAAAGTAGAAATATCAAGGTTAAGCCTATGGATAATGGGGTAATGAGATGCTATGGTCTGAATGTTTGGGTCTCCCCCAGATTGATATATTAAAACCCTAATCCCAATGTGATGGTATTGGGAGGTGAGGCCTTTGGGAAGTAATTAGATCATGAGGGTAGAAATGTCATGAATAGAATTAGTGCCCTCATACAAAAGAGGCCCAACAGCTAGCTAGTTCTTTCTGCCATGTGAGGACACAGTGAGAAGTTAGCAGTCTGCATGCAACCCAAAAGAGGGCCCTCGCCAGAACCTGACCCTGCTGGCACTCTGATCTCAGATGTCCAGCCTCTAGAACTATGAGAATAAATTTCTGTTGCTTATAAACAACCCAAATGACCTAAAACTGGGAAGTGGAAAGGTTGAATTTGAAAAGCATTTCAAAGGATGAAACATCTAGCTTTGGGGACACATGCCATAAAAATGAGGACAGGTAAATCAAATAAGACCTAAAGACCTAAGACTCCAGGCTTTCTAACCAGGAAAACCCAAAGATGGGGGTGTGTAGGTGGAAATAAGAAACTAGAAAGGAAAGTCATTTTGTTGATGATTACAATTTTGCTAGTGTAAGATCACTAAATAATTATTTAGTGTTGCCATGTCAGCTTTAAGAAATAAAAGACCCCAGGCAAGTGAAGCAAGTGAGAATCCTTTACCCAGAGTCAATTGTAGAAGACTTTGGAATGAATGTGCTTACTGAGGAGTGAATGCAAAAACTTAGGAACAAAGGGTTATACTTATGAAAATTTTTGTCTGGCTTTGATAATATACATACACATTTGCCCACTCGGAAGATGTGCATTAATACTTTTATTGATTCATCCTTGATGTCTTTGAAAATATTGTCTATGTGTTTCTGATATACTCCAGTGCAATAACCAATAACAAAGAACTGAAGCTTACCTCATTAGCCAGAGACTCAATTATTTTAAAACTATTAAGAGTAGAGTATAAATGTCTTACCACAATAAATAAGTGAGGTGATGGTCATGTTAGCATGTTTGATGTAAGCTTTCCACATTGTATATCAAATCAGCACATTGTACCCCATAAATGCATTCATGTACACAGTTACGATTTAATAAAAAATTTAAAAAGAAAGAATTATGCTTTATTTAGTGGATATCTTTCTTCAGTTTTTGCTCCAAGAACCTATTAAATTCACAACAGAGTGGCATGACTCTCCCTGCCTATGTTTTTTTTGTTTGGCTCTAGAAGTCTGCATATTCATTCAATGGTTGGGAACACACCCTCGGGGATACCCATAGGTTGAGATTGGTCAAAGTCAGCAAATGAGGCAAAGGGGAAAGAGAAGTATAGGAAAGGACAGAGCCATGAAAGCCAAAGAATAAGTTACTAGAAATAGTTACAAATAATATCAAACACATTAAGAAGTCAAGATATATTGAAGTACCAAGTAAGTTTACTGTGGGGCTTGATAAAAATACCAATGAACCCTAATTCAATTATTAATTAAGCTCCATAGAACATTAAGAAGGTGAAATTTATCCTGAAAAAATAATCAGCATGATAAAATTTCGGCTAAAAGCAAAGTCATACCACTAAACTTTTGTTCTGAACCATTGCTCAAGGGAGCAAGGTAAAAGTCTTGCATTTCATTTTTGATACCCCTTGGTCAGTCTACTTACATGAGCATAACTCAGGAAGAAGAGCTGATTGTTGGTGAATGTGATGCCAGGTAGAAGAGGTTCCTCAACTCCCTGCCTTCTGTCATTTATCCATTTCCTGTAAGCCTAGTGAGAGAGGCAAAATAGATGAGCCTCTGAAATAGGATTTTCCCTTTTTTCATGCAACACCCGCCATACGCAAAATTCATCATGTCAGATTTTTCTTGACGAAAACAAATACCTGGAAATGTAAGTCCATCTTCTGTCGCTTACCAGTGAGGCAGGTGCATTAGCAAAAAGACCTTAGACTCAATAGATACCAAAAAGCTGGGCCAAAGTGTTCAGGTGTAAAATAACTTTTTTTTTTAAAGCTACTCTTTCTATTCCTACCAGGGGACAAACAAATCCAACTCCATGACAAGGCCCGCATGGCAATAAATTTCAGGGTCAACATATTACCAGGTTTTTATTTCATCATAGAAAGAGGAAAAACTATCAGCTTCCATTACCATCATTTTACTTTAAAAAGTATATTTTAGGAGTATAGGAAGGATGTAACCTCAGAATAACAGCCTGGTCTTTTAATTAAATGTACTTAAGTTCTATGAAAATCTTTCCACATTATCCATATGTTTCTTGTTTCACCACACACCAGCATATGATGAAAATACTATTATGGTCTCTTACCTGGCCCAGTATATGGGAACTGCTACCCTCTGGCCATCATTTAGAAGTTTGATATTTTAAGATAAAATTATAGGGAGGGCTATAGAGAGAGCTGTACTCAAGAAAAACTCATACGAACCTAGCCCCAAGGAGATTTCTGTAGCATGCTTTGATATGATTGTAGATGTATTTTCTGAAAACTAGCCTTTAAATACATGATTCTTAATAACAAAATTATTCTTTAGGGTGACTTTACACCCCAAAAAGAAAAAAGAAAGAAGTACACTTCTATTTATATGATAGAATATAATAGAGTCAATGGGGAAATATAATTCTATTTATAGAAATTCCATAATATCTAACTCCTCAAGAACATTCTGTGCGATAAATTGAAGTGCACCCATATGGTGCTTAATAGCTTAATTTTTAAAACACAGCAAACATAGCATTGCATACCCTAAATGCTTCCCGCAGACCTCCATTATCAGCAATATTTTCTCCCAGGGTCCTCTTCCCCTTTACCTAACAAAAAGAAGAACAAGAATGTTTCACAGTCAAGTATTATTGAGCAAGAGGTATACAAAGTATAGTAATAAAAGAGAGTCATATTTTAAAGAGATAATTACATTCAATAAATGAAAGGTAGTCATAATATATTGTGAGATGGCAAACTAACCCTAGCAAGGTGCTCCTGAATAAAATAATTTCTATTTTATTATGCTACACATTTCTTTCTCATTCACCTCTTTGTTCTCACCAATTTAGCCAGCTCCAATAAAATGTTAGACAATATTCTGAGTGACTTTGCTTTAATGGGAAAAGATAGAAATGGCAATACCCAGGTTACCTTCCTGGATTAACTCACATAGTTTGACTGTTCTTCTCATTGTACCTGTGTTTCCAAAAATTTACCATCTACATAGGAACAAAACTTCAAGACCAACCATCATCATTTTACCTTAGCAATTTCCATGAAAAATTAAAAGGAAGGTAGTTTCCCTGGAGAACAAAAATCAAACAGAAGTAGCACAGATCACAAGGTCAAGGTTTGCAATATGTATGACAACCAGCCAAGCATGGTGAAGAAATGCTTCACAACATTCAAAGATTGTTTCTCAAAACCTTAAATGAGCTAGGGCAAAAATAGTGCCCACAAGCCAAATCCAACCTGCCGCTTATTTTTGTGCAGGTTGCAAGGTAAGATCAGACTTTATGTATTTCAATGACTGGAGGGGGAAAAAATCAAAGTAATATCTTTTTGCACATGAAAATTGTATGAAGTTCAAATTTTTGTGTCCATAAATCAAGTTTTATTGGAACAAACCCACTCCCATTCATATACATACTGTCTGTAGTTGCTTTCTTGCTCCAGTGGCAGAGTTCAACAGCTGTAATAGAGACTACATATGTTATATAACCTAAATTATTTACTGTCTGGCCCTTTACAGAAAAGTTTGCCAACCCCTGTTGTACTAGGCAGAATAATGGCCTCTGAAAGTTATCTATATCCTAATTCCTGGGACCAGTGAATGTGTTAGCTTACCATGGCAAAGGGAACTTTTAAATGTGATTAAGTTAATGATCTTGAGATGGCCACATTAGCCTGGATTATCCAGGTGAACCTAATTTAATTGCAAGCATCTTTCCAAGAAGAAAAGGGAGGCAGGTGAGTGACTGAAAAAGTGAAGCCATGTCAGAAGACTCCACCAGCTATTGCTGGCTTTGGAAAAGAATGGGGCCATGAGCCAAGGAAAGTGGTCAGCCTCTAGAAAAAACAAGGAAACAGGTTCCCCCTAGGGCCTCTAGAAAGGAACATAGTCTTCCTGACATCTTGATTTTAGGCCACTGAGACCTGTGTCAGATTGATACACAGCACTGTATGATCATAAATTTGTATTGTTTTAAGCTACTAAATTCGTAGTAATTTGTCATAGCAGCAATAGGAAACTCATACATCCTGCTCTAAACTTTTAAGCCATGGATCTTACCAACTCTTTGCTTTTAAGAAAGCTCAATCACCCAGGTATCAAGCAATACCAAATAAAAACAAACCTTTGAAAAATATAGTTCATTATAATCACTCAGGACCCTTCTAGTTTCAGTCCCCAAAAGTTACCATTCCTGCTTTACATACATTTTTTCTTTTCTACAGTCCCATGAGGTTAGTGCTAGTATCATCATCCTTGTTTAACAAATGAGGGTCTAATCCTCAGAGTATGTAGCAGATGTTGTTGTTGGTATCCCACCAGATCCCCTTTACTACCAGGACCGTGCCCCCATTCCTGTGACTGCTAACAACTCAGAAAGACTAACCTTAGCTTATGGGAGTCATCTCACCTGGAGATTGCTGGGAGGTTACAGCCCACCTTCCAGTAACTGACTGACATACAGTTAGAATAGCCCAGCCCCTTGCCCCTGGGCTGAAAAATTTCTTTTTTTTTCTTTCTATTTTTAGTAGAGACAGGGTCTTGTTCTTGCTCAGGCTGGTCTCAAACTCATGAGCTCAAGCAATCCTCCCACCTCAGACTCCCAAAGTGCTAGGATTACAGGTGTTAGCCACCATGCACAGCCTGGGCTGAACAATTTCTGTAGTGCAATCCATGCTCCAGAACCTTCTGCGGGATCAGGACAAGGCTAAACTTCTCCTGAAACCAACATGTTTTCCTCACTCCCTTACAAGTTTGTACTCCAAACTACTTTCTCAATAAACCACTGACCTAATGAACCCCATCTTGGGCTGTTGACAGAGGATTAAGTAAACTGCTCACACTTCACAGGGATTCCAAGCCAAGCAGTCCTCTGTCTCCAGAGCCTCCATTTCATAATACACTACCTTCTCAATCTTCAGTGTTATGTTTATGCTTATGTCCACTTATACTTGAATTTAATCCCCTTCCTTTTTACTCTATCTATGCTTTATATCTCAGTTAGAGGCTTTTGGAGTAGCCTCGCCCCTCTGGCTCCTCACACACTGGATTGCCTCAGTGGATCACATGGGCCTAGGTTTGGGCTCTCAAGACCCAACAGCTGCTGACAGTCTGTTTCTGTGGTTCCCCATCTGAGCGCCCCCTAATTCACTGCAAAGAAAGCTTCAGGCACAGAGGCCTGGCCTGTATAAATAAAGCCAGAAAAATAAAGCATGGCCCTTTATATCCAACAAAGGAAGCTACCCAGGCTCCTGTGGGAATGAGACGAAAGCGGTTTTCTGATGGCTGAGTGGATTTATGCTGAGACAGGTGTGCCCTTTCTATTGTCCTTGTGACAAAGGTACACATTTGTCAGAATTAAGTTTCATTATCTGACATTTGGGCCAAAATGGATGGTGAAGAAAAGTCCACCCACACATCACCCAAGTATAAAATAAACTTAAAATAAGATCCAGAGCGCAAAATGGGGTGAAGTGTATGGACTTTGAAGTCGTACAGATCTAAACTCTAATATCTCTCAGGAACCAGTGTGAGGATTACATTTGTTTCAATTAAGTGAAAAGTCTAAGTCCCATGCCTGCATATAATAATCAGCAGGAAATATGGATTCCCTTCCTCTAAGAAAACTGCTCTTCTATTGTTTTTAGCCTCAAAGTCTTTGGCTTTGTTTTTTTCCGGGGATGTGGTACCTACGAATATGTCATAAAGGATCAGGGAGTATTGACCACCTTTTATTGAGCACTTACTGTGTGTGTCAGGCATTATGCTGCTGCTTCACATTACCTCACTCATTTAATTCTTACAACAAACAAATGAATTCAGAAATACTCACTTCACCATTGAGGACACTGGGACTCAAGAATGTTAATTAACTTGCCCACGTTCATAAAACTAGTAATTGGTTAAACCAGGCGTCCTCAAACTATGGCCCGCAGGCCACATGCAGCCTGCCTAGGACATTTATCGGGCCCGCCAGGTGTTTTTGCCACTGCTGCCTGTCCTGCTTAGCAGCCAACTCGTCGTGGGGTCAGCAGTCTGGCCCTCCAATGGTCTGAGGGACAGTGAACTGGCCCCCTGTTTAAAAAGTTTGAGGACCCCTGGGTTAAACCAAGATTTGGACCCACATCTGATTCTAGAAACCATGTGCTATGCTTTTCTTTCTTTTTCTTTCTTTTTATTTTTTATTTAGGGATGGAATCTTGCTCTGTCACCCAGGCTGGAGTACAGTGGCATCGTCATAGCTCAGTGCAGAACTGAACTCCTAGGCTCAAGGGATTCTATTGCCTCAACCTCCTGAATAGCTGGTATTACAGTTGCATGTCACCATACCTCACTGCCATGCTTTTCTTGAAGCAACATATACTCTAGATGAATTAGCGAAAACCCTTGAACTGAATGCAGATATATAAAAGCACCCATTTCAGGTCTTCCATGTCACAGTTGTAGGTGCTAAAAATATATAGGACACTGGTAAAGGAGCCAGGGACAACATTCAAAGGTACTGACTCTGGTTTCTCCACCTGAGTGAGCAGCGGTCTTACTTGTGCTGATGGTGATTTAAGAACCAAAAGAACCAAATCAGTGTTCGTAAACATTCCCTTTAAAAGAAGAACACAGTTTTTTATCCAAACTCATTTGGAATGCTGAAATAAACCCCAATTATAATACACTTAAGGCATAGCAAGTATTGGGGTATTTTTCCAGCTCTGATAGGATATGAGGATAGAGTCTGTGTCTTGTTAGGGAAGCAAGCGAACCCAGGAAACCACATACAGTGTACTGATTGACTCCAGTTCTGTGGCCACCTTGCTTCTCTTAGGCACTCTGTTTTTGACCAGATAGACTGGGAGCATACAGTGTATGCATGTGTATTTTAGAGGAAGGTATTCCTGCAGATTCATAACCTATCAACAATTTTTCTTTGTTGGTATCTTACTGTCAAATACAATCAGTGAAATCCGTGTCTTATAATGATGAAAGCAGAGACAGGACATGGAATACAAAAGTATAGACAATTGACAATGGGGAAAGAGCATGAAAATGAACCTGATCAAACCAGAAAAATAAGGAAAGGGGAGGAAAGTAAAAATAATATACAGCTGATAAACTGTAAGCAGAAAACTATAAAACTTTACTTAAAAACCTAAGACAAGAACCAAGCATACTGAAAGGCCTGCCATGTTCTTGGACAATAAGACTATGCCATTAAAAAATGTCAATTCCGTACATTTAATATGGCTTAAATTAGAATCTCAGTGATATTTTCTTTGGAGGAAATATAATAGAATGGGTAAAATGATCTCGGAGAGTATACAGAAGTATGAATGCCTAAGAACGGCCAAGTACATAAAAAAAGAACAGTGAGGGAGACTCTGTACTATAGATAACAGAATAAATCAGAAAGCCACCATAATAAGGTCCTGGCATGGAAAGCAACAAGGAAATCAGTAGAATATATCATCCAGAAACATAACTCTTAGTGTATATGAGAGTCTAATTTATGACAAATAATTGACTCAGAGAGGGAAAAAAAAATGTCTTTTAGTAGATGATGCTGGCTCGATTGGCTACCCTTTTGGAAGAAAACAGAAGTAAAATATCAAAAAAAAATGAAAACCTCCCCAGAAAAGCTAGGAGACTCCATGGATGATATAGATGTTGGAGACACCTTCGTAGCCAAGAACGGAAATGTAGAAAGTATATGTTAAGAGTGATAGGTATCCTGGACTATATAAAAAATATTTCAAAGTTATATGTCCAAAGATACCATATCTGTGTATGAAGTCCAATGGATGAGTACTTTATTGGGGGGGAGGAATATGTATAATGTGAATGAGAGACAAAATCTTAACACCTGTAATACTTAAAAGTTTCTCATAAATTGACAAGAAAACAATGCCATAGATTAATGCTCTTTCATCCATCACTGGTAGGAATATGAAATGTTACAACTTTTTGGTGACAGTAGGAATCTATCCTATAGGGGGAAAAAGTAAAATATAGAATAGGGGTGTTTACTGCAGCAGCTTTTTAATTGCAAAGTGGAACCCCTTGACAAGAGGTTAATTGACTAAGTTACAGTACAATGACACCAGGGACTCTTAGATAGCCATTGAAAACAATAAACTAAAGTTATGCGTGTGTGTGTGTCTCCATTTGAGGATGGGGAAAGTGTATCAGAGTTATTAAGATGGACCACAGGTAGGAAAGGTAAGGGTAATGAGAGGAAAGGGGGAAGGAGATAGAGGTTACACACAAAAAAGGAAGGGAACAACGTTTCACATACACAAAAAGCATGTATAAAATTTCATTCGTGCCTTTACGGAAAAGTATATATGTATATATAATAGAAAACAAACACTTAAAAAGTATATTTCTTTTGTTTAGACTTCCATAACTAAGAACTCTTAACCAATTCTCTGCCCCATCAACTCAAATTAGTGAGGTTTTGTTTCAGCAGATTAAACCTAGGTAGGGGTTTGGGGGGGGGATTTAATGATATGGGGTATAGGAGATTTATAAGAATGTTATTGTTTACCTGTGCTATGGGATTTTCTACATGAATACGAATCTAAGAAAAACTACTGTTCAGGCCCATGAGTCTCCAACTTTAGCTTCTATCGGAATTAACCTAAGGACCTGTGAAAAGACTACCTGACTACCAGGCACCACTCCAGCAATTCTGATTCAGTAGTTCTGGGGTAGAACTCAAGAATTTGCATTTCTTACAAGTTCCCAGGGAAGGCAGATACGGATGATCTCAGCAGCACACTTTGAAAACCAGTTGTTTAAAGCAAGTTCATGTCCAAATCAGGGGGAGAAATGACCTACAAGGTGCCCCCTTCACCACAGCTGTACTCACATTTAAGCCAGCTTTCTTCCAATAATAGTTGCTATACTGGTTAATCATGCACTTTGTTTTTTCTTTAAACTTTTCTTCAGAGTCTGCAGACCACCAAGGATCCAGGTTTCCATTTTTATCATATTTTCTACCTAGCAAGAAGGAAAGTTAGAAGACATTTGTGTTATTTGTGGGAACTAAATTCTTCATCTTTCCCTGCCCTCAGCATGACAAGCCTTCATGAAGCAGGCACAGCAGCAGGGAACACTCTTCCTGTGAGAGCAGCTCCGGCATTCTCTCCAATGTCACAGGTTAATTGTAAAAAGGGGGAAAGGAGAAAGAGGACTGAGGAAGTTCTTTTCTTCTAAGGACCAAGGAACATTTTTTAAAATAAGATTCCTCAATTTATTGCACGTAGCATGTAGCAGTTTTATCCAATCTTGGATTCTGAGTCTTCACCTGATCTGACCTGAAATGTCCTCTGGATTATGAAATCAAATGGCTTCATTCAGAAAGTTCAGGCAGGGAATCAGAGCATTACTACCAGTGAAATTCCAAATGATCCATAGGAATAGCCCTGGTGAGTCATCCACACTGAGAACATAGACCCTGACTCAGCCTGTAAGAACCTGTTTCCTCCGAGTTGTCAGGAGCCAAGAGACACATAAAACCTCTGTTATGAATCATTCCGCAGCCATCAGTGTGGATGGAAAAGATATCTGTCCTGCTTCGACAAGGAAGGTTGCTCCAAAAAGAAAACTTGAAACAAGAATGGAAATCTCCAAAACATAATGGGAAAAAAGATTAGTTAGACATGCTTTCTTGCTGTGTTCACTCTTTGTTTTCTACATCCTTCAAAACAAAAGTTTGAATGCATCTAGACTAACTGTATTCAAGGTTACTACTGGAATCTGAGGCATCACTTAAATTTAATTATGTGGAAAGCTATAAGCTATAAGAAAATCTCCTAACCATCAGACGTTGCATATGCTCAGGGTGACTTCATGAGGCAGTGATTATCAATAATGTTTCAACCTACCATTGCAACATGAGGTGTTTAATGCTATTCCAAAGTCACCATGGTTTCTATAATGTCTCAAAAGAAAACAGACCCTCCAAAAAGAAAAATTATGAATGAAAGAAGATTGTTCAGTGAAAAGAAGGCAGACGACTACTTTTTGTTAAAGCAAATAGTAAGACACTCTGCTTAGTTTGTAGGGAATGTGTGCAAGTTCTCAAAGACTATAGTTTGAAAGGGCATTCTGTACGAAAATATTCCACCAAATTCGATGTATATTAAGGATTGTGTTATAAGGACAAAAAAGCAGAGCTGAAAAAAGTCTGTCTGCTCGACAAAAAAATGAAATGTTTTTAAAAGTTGCAACTCAGACAGATTCCATTGTAGAAGCTAGTTATATGGTAGCATATTTAATAGCCCCGAATATCAAAACCTGGTACTGATGTGAGTTTATTGAGTAAAGTATGGAAAGCATGGCAGATATAATTTCTCCTGAAAAAAAAGGAGAATATTTCTAACATCAGTTTGTCTCCCCCGAGTATCATCAGGCAAATTGAAAAAACTAGAAGATCTGTTGGAAGCAGTTTGGAGAGTAAAGCTACTCATTTTAAATGTCATGCTTTGGCGATGGATGACAGCACTGATGCTACAGATATGGCTCAGCTTGCCATTTTTATTAGAGGTATTGACGACAAATATGTCATGGAAAAAATGGCTTCCTTGGTGCCATTAAAAGACACAGTTCAATCAAGAGATTTATATGAAGAAATAAAAAATATGTTAAAGTGATTTTCTTTGTCCGTTGTCAACATATCTAGTATAGTGGCTGATAGTGCCCTACTGATAGGTAAAAGAGAGAGACCTGTAAAATTAATAGAAGACAATGGAATTGCCACCCAAAATTCACGTTTGATGAAGTATCATCACATGCTATATCAAGAAAATTTCTGTGCAAAAGCTTTAAAACTGGATAACATCATACACATCGTCCTCAAGGCTGTGAATGTCATAAGAGCCAAGGGACTGAATCATCTCCAATTTCAGGAATTCCTTAAAAGTACTGATGCTGATGATGGCGACATCATTACTTTTCAGAAGCAGGATGGCTACATTTTAGGCCCAACATGGAAGATTTTATGATTTGTGATATGTTATCAAGTCATTTATGGTATCAAAAACCAACTTTGTGCCAGGACTTGATCATGAAAACTGGCTTATAGATTTAGCATTGTTAGTGGATTTAACTGCTCGTTTGAATGAGCTGAGCGTGTCTTCAAGGTGAAAACCAACTTATCAGTACCATGTTCCAAAACATAACAGCATTCCAGCTGAAACTGAAATTATGAGAAGCTCTAATTAAGGCAAACAACTTCCTGCATTTTAACACATTGCTTAAACTCAGTCCGGTCAACAGTGAAAAACACCCAGCCTTGCTTTTCAATTTGATACAAGAATTTGAAAACAGATTTTAAAATTTCCAAGAAAATCATCAACATTTTGGTGCTTTTGTGACTCCAATTTCAGCCAACATAATGATTGGCCATATGTTACCTGCCAATTTTCAAACGGAATGCATAGAGCTGCCATCTGACATTTAACTTAAAGAAAAATTGGATCTCAGCATCCACAAGAAAAGCCCAAAGGATCTCTGGTCCTGAGGTGGACATCCAGAAAAAGATGTTGGAAATCCTACAGGCAAGGGAAAAAAGAGGTCCCCTTCTGTATAATGTTGCCCTGGGCTAGCTAGTTGTTGAGACTGCCTGTAAATTATTGTGTGGATGTGACAGTAATTTGCTTCTAATCCATAAATTTCCGAGATTTCACGTGGCTTTCCAATAATACCCCAAAGCGAAAGGAGAAGGGAGTGCTGATTAAAAATGATGAGGACTCTCAAAGGCAACAATTTCTTTCATTTATGCCATATTCTGCTCTTCCTTTCTGCTTAAACGTTATCAGGATGCACAGCATAGTCTACAGTATGCATTATTAGGAAAGCATAGATTTTTTTTAAATGCCGAATATGTGCCAGTATAAAGAAAATCTAGATTAAGCATTGCATAATCTTTGAAATCATAAAAAGGAACCAGTCCGCCAAGCTGTAGAATCCTAACTCAGCGAGAACTAACTCGGCAGCATATACAATCATTGTTAGAGCAGAACTCACACCTCCAGGCAGAAGATCTCAAGATAGTGAATAAAGAAATGACAAAGGGAGAAGCCATAAAGCAATTCCTGTAACTATCGTGGCAGCTCTAGCAATCCTGATCTAAATGCAAAGCTAATTTCATTGAAATTACAAGGCCTTTTTTTCATTCTACCCCATTGCCAACAGGAACAATTGTTTATTTATTGCAAGCTATCACAGCAAGACATGGGGCAAAGTTTTCAATCAGCAATCATATTGCTTTGGATAATCTTCAGCTATGATGGCGCTGCTATTGCAAAGATAATCACAACAATTAACAGCCATAGAGTCAACATTATTAGGAAAGCAGCAGCTTATAAAATGAATCAGTACTTACCATTATTATCAAATCCATGTGTAAATTCGTGTCCGACAATTACTCCTATAGCACCGTAACTCAGAGATCTATGGCATAAATACATAATTTGGAGAAAATTACAAGCATGAATCTCAGAGCATAATCCTTTCATTTTTCAATGGAAAACCAAGACAACCTGTTTTCTGGTAACTGTGGTAACAACAATCTAATAACCATATCCACAAAGCTGTAAAAGAAAATCTAAACACATCTTCTAGTTGAAATGGACAGAGAAAATATGAATTTTAACATTGTCATTATAACCGTGTATGGGTCTTTATGTCCTACCCTATAAAATTAGGAATGTGAAAGAGATGATTTCTAAATTCCCTTTCAGCCCCAAGAGTTTTATGATCCTATGTCTGCTCTAGCTACATATCTGTGAACACCTAAAGCAGGGCTTGAAAAGATCCTGTCAGGAAATATACCATTTATTTTTATCTGAAAATTCGTTGAAAAGTCATTATAATCTCAGAAGTTAAATGATTTTCCAAATATAGTCATAAAAAGGAAAAGAGCAGAAATTAAAAGGGATCACTCTGTTTTCAAAGGTAGTCACATTCGTCTGTTTCTGTTGTAGACTAGATGGCAACTGAATAGCAAAGATTGTAAAGTCTTAACCAGATTTGGAAAAGCTGTTGCATTATTTCTCTTCACCTCTGAAAAAACATGGTAGATCATCCATAAAGATGACCACCACCAATTCTGTCCATTTGTGAATGCATCTGCCTCCTCTTTCCATCAAAAGGCAATCTATTTCCCTCCCCTTGAATCTGGACTGGTCTTGCTATGACCAAAAGAATGCAGTAGAAGAGGTCAGGTGTGAAATCTGGGCCTTCACATTAAAAACCCTTGTAGCTTCCATTTTCTGCCTTCTTGGCTGTCGGCTGCAACCTAAAGAAGTTCCACTACCTATCTGGAGGGAAAGAAGCCACGTCAAGCAAGCAAGAGACCCCAAAAGTCAAGAAGCTCTAAAGGAAGACAGAGGTCCTGCCAGGCCCCAGCCATGAGAGCCAGGCTAACTGGGGCACCAAACACATAAGAAGTCACCTTAGATCCTCTGGCCCTGGTCAAGCTGCCCCAGCCAGCACCACACAATAGAAACCAGCTATCTCAGTTCAGTCCTGCCCAAATCGCAGAATCATGAGCCAATAAATGGTTATTTCATGGTGCTTTGCTATGTAGCAATAGATAACTGGGGAAAAAGCAGGTTAATAATATATGAAGAAATCATTGATGGGGTTTCCATACGTGTGTGTCTGGGATTTTCTCTCTCAACTGAAAGTTCCATTAAGGTCAAACCCTTATCTACTTGCTCACTGCTACATTCTCTGTACCAGCATGCAGTAAGAAAGTAACCACAATTTAACTAATTGATTAGTTAACTTTACTATTTCATGCAAGTGATGGATCTATATGTAGCTCATTTTAGCCATTTAACCTGTTGATGAAAATTATGGACAACTTAGAATCCTTATTGTGAGGATTCTTCACAAGATTTGCAATTATGCTAAAAATAATTCACAGTTGGTTCCTGACATGCAACATCAAAGTCACCCAGCAAATAGATAGGACCCATAACTGGAAGGGACAGAAATTTCTGAAGCAACATGTTATTACAGGACATAATGATCCTTACCATGCTAATTGTTTATCTCAACTATACCCAAGGAAGTGCTGTAAGATTTAATTTTTCCCCTTGGTGGCAATTCTTTCCTTTGTTATTTCTTTCCTGCAAGGTAATTTGCATTTGAAAAAATGCTTCCTACTGTTTTTCCATCATTGCAAACCTTCATTAAAGAAGTAAAAGTGAAATTATGCATTTCAATCATAAAGCTATTATAGCAGTGTGGGACAAAGTTGTAATTTTACATAGTGTTAATTTTTTGCAGCAGTAGCTGTGCAGTGCAGCCTGCAACATTTAGTTTTTCCAGGTCTCTTAACCCTGAGAATAAGTACTCAGACCTCTCCAACCTGCTATCAATGCTGTTGACTAGATGAATTGAAGGGACGAACAATGGAAGTTTCTAGAAAACTGCCCTGCAATCAATGTCCCTTAAGAGGGATCGCTCCAAAATGATTGAATCATTTTAAGTTTCAATTCTTAGTTATAGAATCACAATCCTTTGGACAAGAGACAAAGAAAAAGTAATTTTATATGACTAAGCCTGACAATAGTGTTTCATAGTATCACATTTACACTTTACATTTTATCAATGAACATTATTTAAGTTACCATGTCAGAAAAAATATAATAAATTTGTAAGCTTTTTAAAGTGTAACCGACTGGCCAGAAGCTGGAAAACATCTTGCATTGAAGATTTAGCCTTCCAAAAGTAAAACAGGGAAGATGACAATTTTATTACCTCGTTTCCATTCTGTTCTTGCTACCCAATGGGTTTAGCATATGCATAGGATTTGCTGCCAACAGCAAAACAACTACACTGCTGTCTGAACTAACCATGATCTCACGCTTATCAAGTAAGGACTACCCTATACCTGAATCATAAGTTTATAAAAATCTCCACATGCCATGTGGCCTTAAAGTTATCTCATTCAACTTCCTGCTAGAAGTATGATTCCCCTCTATGAAAACCCATTCAAATGATCATGAGACTGCTGCTTGGATATTTCCAATGACTAGGAGCTCACTCCTTTCTGAAGTAACCCATTCCTTCTTTGGGTGGGTCTAAATAAAACATCTCTCTCTAAAGTTGATCTGAAATGTCTTTACTATGTCTTCCATCTATAAGTCTAGCATAGTCTATAGTTGAACACCTGCCAATCTCCCTGAGTATACTCAATCATTCCACCACCTTAACTTTCCTTCAAAATTATGAAGACAGGTACAAGGTTCTTCCTCAAGTGTTTCCAAGTTCCTTCAACTCTTATTCTTCAGTTATGAATTCTAGATCAGTATTTCCCAAAACATAGGGAAAAGGGGAACCTGGGAATCTATGTGTAAAACACATTTAAATACATTTCTTTCTTACAGAACTTCTTGGCAACTTTTATGCCAATGTGTGTAGTGATTCTCCAAAACAGAGAGAAGGAGAGGATAACTTAACTCTGTTGCTATTTCGTGGAACACACGCTTTGGGAAATGTTATCTTAGGCCATTTACAAATCTGATTCTCTCCTCTGGAAATAATTCAGCTGTTCAAGTCCCCATAATGAGACTCAACACTCATGTAAGGGCTAAGCTAACCAATGTGAGCAGAAAGGATCCCATTTCCTTGGATGTCTAGTAATCTATTAATACAGAATAGGTGGATGTATTGGAAGCCATATCACTGGACTGTGATTCTCATGTTTTTGGCACCTCCATATTCCCAATGCCAAGTACTCAAGTGAGACTTAATAGCTATTCTTTGACTGGATATCTTAATAGAGAATGAGTTTAGTGAGGATGTAGAACTCTTTAGGGGGGAAAAAATCTCTCACCCACTTAAATACCAACTATATGGTTCAACTTAAGGTAGAACTAATAGACACTAACATTAACTCCTAGATTTCTATGATTTTTGACTTTTATGTCAGAAAATTATGCTCAAGAACCCAATAATAAATCATTGAATCACTAACTTCAAAACCTAACCGGGCTGTTTCTGAACCTCCAGCTACATAACCATAATAATAGAAGCTTAAATTGTTAACAATAAGCAGAATCAAAGATTTTTAAGATTTTTTTTTTTTAGTTTAAAGGAGCTTAAACAATATTTAGCCTAAATATTTAATTTCATGAAAATACATATAAAGTTTTAATCTTAAAAGCAGGTAAAATTGATTCCAAATATGTAAACACTAAAGAAAACTAGGTAGCTAAGGCCTGGGAGGGTATTAATAGATTTGGTTAAATATAAACCTAGAGTTATTATTATTTTTTTATTTTCTCTATACATATACATGTGTTTATTTGGTTTCCACTTTTTGCCTTCACAAAATTAAAAAGGCTTAAAATTTAATAACAATAACAATGTTTAAGATAAGGACTAGAAACAAAAACCTTGTAAAGAATGAATGAAGATAAATACATTCAGAACAGAAATCAGACAATTGCTGCAACGAAACATTGAGCAATAATAATAATGCAAAAAAAGTAACTTTCACATTGTCAGATAAAGTATGTCTATCATAGAATGCTTTGACTCTGAGGTTCAGTATGGCGTCAACAGTTTAAAAAAAAGAGTTATTATTTATTCTAACAAGGTGCTTCTCTATAGTTGGCTTCATTGATTCCTGCCCATGTCCCCCCAGCTCTGATCATTTTTGAGCACACCACTCTGACAGCTTCCAAATACCAGCACCTGAAACTCGTTGTTTAAACACTTTCTCCAGCGACCAGAGCCCTCTTGATCTGGACTATGCACTGCCTGGAAGTTAATACCCCTGCTAGTAGCCCTTGACCAATGATGGCAAGTGAATTGGAGGATAAGTACTCCAACTTTCTTTACTCTGAGGTGGCATCACTCTGGAGCATTTTCTGTAGTTCCCCAGCAAGACTGAGCCCTAGTTGCCCATGGTGATAACTGGCTTGTAACGTAGTGTGGGAGGTAGAATAATGGCATCCAAAAGATGTTCATGTGCTAATCCCTGGAACCTGTGAATATGTTATGTTACACAGCATAGGGGACTTATTAAGGTTGCCAATCAGCTGACCTGAAAATAGGTAGATTATCCTGGATTATCTAGGTGGGCCCAATATAATCACAAGGCTCAAAATAGAAGAGAGGGGTAGAAGATGAGAATCAGAAGGAGATGTGACTATGGAACTTTTAAGATCGAGAAAGGAGGCCATAAACCAAGGAACATAGGCCCCCTCTAGAAGCCAGAAAAGGCAGGGAAGTAGATTCTTCCCTAGAGCTTCCAGAAAGGAGTACAGCACTGCTGACACCTTGCTTTTAGCCCAGCGAAACCCAGGTTGAATTTCTGACCTACAGAACCATAAGCTGGTCTGCTTCTGTAGTTTTAAGCCACTAAGTGAATTTGTAGTAATTCATTTTGGCAGCCATTGAAGATTCATAGGACACAACTTGTTGGCTTATTCCTTTTCCCTTTCTCACTTTCCCACTCTCCTGTTAGTGTTTCCTGGTGCCACCTCCCAAAAGAACTACTTGCACTTAAATACTTATCACAGGGTCTGCTTCTGGGGAGGCCCAAATCAAAACGCTGCCAGTATATTTCTCTTGTTTGTACAAGTACGGGATCTCATATCTTTTAAGTCTATGTAATCATACTTAAATTGTCACATATCCAAACCAAAACACAAGAAACTCAACTTCTAAAATCATGATTAAATTTTCCATTCATTAAAGTACCAGTGCAAGCAAAGGCATATAATGAATGTGGTGATATTATTGACAATGAATATTATCGGAACCTCTACTATATATGGAAATTCTGGATTATGTAAGTTTACAATCTGTTGGTATTAATAGCCTTAAAAGTGAAATATCTCAGTCTAGATACTGTCCATTTTTCTTTAGTTATACAGATTATAATTCTAAAAACAAATATGATTACCTTACTTACTTGCTCAAAAAATTCAATATTTTCTATTGCCTATTAGTGTCCAAGCTGGCATTACCTGGCATTCAGAGCTCTCCACTATCAAACCTCAACCTTCTTTCCTAGACTTCTTTTCTACTATTTCCTTTCATATACCGCTTGAGCCAGCCAAACTAGACTCTATGATTCCATATGTAAACACTATTCCCTCCTTCTCTCACATTGTTTCTTTTACCTGGAATGGTTTTAGACCTATCCCCATCGACTCAAATCCAACAATTCTTTAAGTTTTAAATATTGATGGTGTAAATCAATGGGTAAGTGAATAAATGCATAAAAATGAAAATCACCTATGTATAAGTTGGCTTTTCTGTCTAATCATATGCCATGGTAACAAGGATTAGAAGGCAAATCCCTAAAATGATAAGAGCAGGGCCAACACATGCCAAGTTCCATGCCCTCTTTCTGCTGAACAATCACTGAATTTGTTTCTTTGTCTTTATAGTCTATCTTTGCCAAAAAAACATGTTCTTTCCTCCTAATTTGTTAATAACTACAGTAGAACCATCATAGTTAACCACCCCGCTACATGAACCACCTCCTTAAGATGACCTAATTTTCAGAGAGTGGATTGCACTACATGTACTTCCTTATGTTGACCACCTCTGTATGTTGACCATTTTGTTATAGTCCCTTGGGTGGTCAACTTGCAGAGAGTCTACTATAGTTTCTTTTCTAATGTACTTACTCACCGAGGATACTCTGTTCCCCAAAAGAAAGGCTTCTGGAGCTCTCCTGCTGGAAATCCTGGGAGAAAGACAAACAACAACATGTTAAGGAATATAGAAACATCAATACAATGATGAGTACCTGGTTACAGCTGTAGACTTGAGACTTCAAAGACCTATCTGAAAGGCACTCCCTGTGGAGCTGGGAGCCCTCAGAGATCCAACCATCTCAAGGATGATATTAATACCATGTATTATACCATTTCAAGGAAGCCATTTTGCACCAATACACTATTGGCCGTCTCCAGTCTGCTGTGAACTGGGCTTCTTCATAGATACACAGCATGTGTGTGAGGCTTCAGGCTGTCCATCAGTTTCCATCAGTATAGCAGGGCCAGCTTCCTGGCTGTGCAACCTATGCAGTCACATGGCCCCACACACAGAAGAGTACTGCACTTGGTTTAATGCTCTGCTATCACTGTCTTAAAATTCTGAATGATTTCATCTTTCAATTCATCTGTTGTAAGTAGAGCCCAAGGGGACAACAGAGCATGTGTGCAAACAAATGACATGTGCACAATATGTGTGACTGCAGTTCTGGGGAGCCCCATTCACACACAGCATTTATGATGCCCCAGGAGCCCCGGATTCTGGCAGACTCACAACATGCAGGAGTTCAAGGTAAGCACATTATGTCTAGAACTAAGTAAGCAGAGGCTGTGAAAGCAAGAGGCCACAATTACCATTCAAATCAGAATTTTCTTTGATCATTAAAACAAGGTAGTGGCATTCTAAGAAACAAGAATGACCAAGGAACCCTACTGTATCCTTTCTTCCTCCTGATACTTTCTCATATTAGTCAACCAGTTACACTGAAAATGATGACATAGAAGGAAAGGGAAAGATATGGTGACCCACGGCTCTTTTCCTTCCAGTTGTCCCTTAGACATCAGTAAGCCCAAATGACACTGTCAGTAGAACACATGCGATTAGGAAGTGAAACAAAAGCAATTGAGTTTTGTGCAACATTTCCAAGGTAAGAAAAAATATATGTGCACATATAAACTACAAAATACAAACCACATGTTGTGCGGTATAAAGATGAACCATAAAATTCATGCTAATAATGATTCACATTTTTAGGTTTTGTTATAACAGCACTGAAGGGCACATAAAAAATAGCATGGTAAGTCAAAAGAGAAAGGCCATGGGGTCAGGCAGGGTGGCTCACGCTTGTAATCCCAGCACTCTGGGAGGCCAAGGCAGGTGGATTGCCTGAGCTGAGGTGATCAAGACCAGCCTGAGCAGGAGTGAGACCCCATCTCTACTAAGTATAGAAAAACTAGCCGGGCATTGTGGCAGGCTCTTGTAGTCCCAGTTACTTGGGAGGCTGAGGCAAGAGGATTGATGGCTTGAGCCCAGGAGTTTAAGGTTGTTGCAAACTATGATGCCACAGCACTCTACCCAGGGTAACAGAGAGGGAGGGAGGGAAGGAGAGAGAGAAACAGAGAGAGAGAGAGAGAGAGACAGAAAGACAGAGAGAGAGAGAGAGAGAGAGAGAGAGAGAGAGAGAGAGAAGGAAGGAAGGAAGGAAGGAAAGAAAGAAAGAAAGAAAGAAAGAAAG